ACACCAAGGAGATGCGAGCTCAGAGCAGAGGAAGAGGCATGGAGAAGGCTGGTTTTTTTCCGTGTCGAAGCTCGGGGTTGGGCAGCCAGTCAGAGACTGCTCTCCTGTGCCTGACGAGGGGCAGATTTGGGGACGGCAGTGGTCACTGACTACTGAGCTCTGCATGCCTCCTGCCACACAGTCTGTCTTCACCAAGGTGGACACTCTGCTGTGGCTGAGACGGGGCAGGCTGCTGCTACATGGGGGCCTTCCAAATTCTTAAACTGAGTAAAATGTAGCCCTGTGTGGTGACACTAAGGGACGTCAGTATTTGTTGAAGTTCCTTTGGGACAATTTCAGAATGACTGGGCCATCTTTCTTTTTTTCTTTTTTCTTGTTTTTGTTTTGTTTTTTAGATAAGGTCTCACGCCCATGGCCCAGACCAGCCTGGAACTTTCTATGTAGCCGAAGAGGATGAATGTCTAATACTCCCAGCTCCACCAGATGCCTGCTGTGATAGCAGGTGCTGACCGCCATGTCTGGTTTATGCGGTGCTGGGGACCAAAGCTAGGCTTCCTGGTTGCTAGGTAAGCATTCTCCCAGCTGAGCTACTGTCCAGTCACTTCTGCAGCTGTGAGAAGAACCATTTACTTCTGAATGACGATGACTCAGTATCACTGTAATATGGATAATTTGACACAAGTCATTTAAACTCATAATCAAACCGCATGCATTTGTGAATGAGGTGGGCTGCCTTTGAGGACTGTGGCCTCCTGTTATGTGATCCCTAGGAAGGACAGAAGCTTACTCACTAATTCTTACCCCACTCCATCCCCACTTTGGCCACCATGGAATTAAAACATGATTCTTGGGTGTGTTCTGTCAATATCCAAGGAGATCTTCTAAGTTCCAGAATAATCTTAGGGTAGTTCATCCTTACTGTCAATTTGACAAGATCTTGAATCACCATGGAAACAAAATTTAGGTCATGTCTATGAGGGAGTTTCTAGATTAGGTTAAATGAGGTGGGAGCACCCACCTTGATTGTGGGTGACACCATTTAGTGGACCCAGGTCCCAGATCAAATATAAAGGAGGAAAGGAGCTGGGGGCCAGCAGTAATCTCTCTCTGTGTTCCAACTGAGCATGGATGGTACCCTCACAGCCGGGACTTCCCCTTCCTTAAACTTCATCTGCCAGACATTGTATCAGAGAATCAGGAAAGGTAACTAATATAGATCTTTGGTGGTTTGGCCCCTACTCTAATTGCTTGGGATGGTAAGGGTGGGGTGGCCCCTGCTGTCCTAACTCACGGAGCTTTCCCAGTTAGTCAGAAACCTCTGGGAGGGGACACTCTGAACACTGTCCCCAGATGATGTGGGAATTAAAGGCCCCAAACAAAAAACGCTCCCTTGATACTTCCTGGGAAGGACGTCTCTAGCCGCGTCCTTTCTAGCCTAAGGAAGTTTTCCTGAATGTGAAGTCAGCAGGCCAGGAGGTGCCCACAGCAGGGCTGGTATTATAAGTTCATCACCGCTGTGCCTGGTGGTGCCCAGTGAGCTGGGCATGGTCTCCTCTCTCTCTCTCTCTCTCTCTCTCTCTCTCTCTCTCTCTCTCTCT